CCTTCGGAGGTGGGGGGCACCAAACCCCCTGCCCACCCGCAACTCCCGGGACGCCGGCAGCCCCGTGGAGAGGAAGGTGGAAAGGAGCCCGCAGGTGCACTGCGGCTCCCGACCACCGCGGCAGCGGGAGGATGCGGGCAGGACAGAGGCGAAACCCGGCTCGCTCCCGCACAGCGGCGGAGCCGCAGCGGCGCCGGCACGTCCCCGGCACACACGCACCCCACCCGGGAGAGCGAGGGGGGAACGGGGCTCGTCCCGCCGCGGGGGAACCCGGCGCTCCGCGGGTCGCTCCTACCTGGCCGGGCTCGCTGCGGTAGGCGAAGGCGTACACCCGCTCCGCGCTGATGTTCACGGCGCCCCGGTAGACGCGGCCGAAGGCACCCGGAGCGGGGTTGTCCCCGGGGCCGTCCCCCGCTGCTGCCGCTGTCGCCCAGAGCAGGGCGCAGAGCAGAGCCCCGGGGGCCGGGGCCGCCCTCCCGGCCATGGGCTCCTTCCTGCCGGCCCCGCGGGGCGCCCCAACTGTCTGGCCACGGCAGGGCGARCGGCGAGGCGCTTTAGCTGCGATTTAAAGAAATAGCTCGGCGACACGGACGGGAGGTGGCGGGGGGCAGCCCCGCACACCCCCGCCCCTCGCCCGGGGACGCCGAGCAACTTTCCCCGGGGAACGACCCTCCGCCGGCTGGCGGGGCGGAGAGGGGAGGGGARGGGAAGGGAGGCTGGCCGGCGGGCTGGCCAGCCCAGCGGAGGAGGGTCTGCTCTCTGTGACCGGCCCCAAATTCTGAGCCCGGCTTAGCAGCCGATTGCCAGGGAGCTTTTCCCCTTGGGAAGCTGTGCTGTGAGTGCAGGGACACGCTGGCATCGTCAGGCACGTGGAGGGATTCAGGGCTTCAACACTTCCTGCCCACCGCGTTAGGGGTGTTCTCGTCCCGCACCCTGCCGGCTTGCTGGAGCTGCAGCTCRCACCTGCAGTCCTGCACAAGGCGCTCCCCAACCTGTATTTTTGGCTTCTCATAAGTTTGGGATAAATGCTCTCGTCTTTTAGTTGAACCTGAAGGTGTGAAAAGCAGAAGCAAATGTAATTTAATTTGAAGATGGTTTGGTGCATCTTCTTTTCATCATTTGTGGAACTAGCTACAAATAATACTGTGATGCTCTTAGCCTTTTCAACAAGATGAGAGGGATGCTGTTGGGCTGTGAAAAGGCAAGGGATCTCTCTCTCTCATGGCTTAACTCTCCTGTGTGTTAAAAACACACCTAGGAAATGTGTCAGATCCCATGGTGTAGGGATGCMYTTATAAGGCAGAGAAAATAGGGCATTACTTATAAAGCAATTAGAGGGTTTTTTCAGGCTGAGGATAAMCTTTCWGRAGCCACAGTTTTATAAAGTCAGCCTGCAGTTTCCAACTGCAGTGACTCTGGCCGCAGAAGCTTTCCACAACTTGTGGGTTTTGTTTTCAAGGCTGAGAGATTTCCTGGGGGATCACTTGTTGTCTTTGGAGAAAAAGTTGCAAAGCTCAGCAAAATGAGCCAGCATGCCTTGTGCTGCCGTTTTGATCTCCAGGCCCTTGTGTGATTTCTGCCAAGAGAAAAAAATAAAACAATTGTCAGTGAGTTCTGTTCATCTTGAAGCAGCGTTCAAGTCACCCTGGCTTTTGTCAGAGTCCCAAGAGRTGCATTAAGGGTAAAAGAAACCATTTGTGATCTGCTGGAAGATGGACACTCAACACAAAGATTTTGCCTTTCAACCTGGAGTATCATGCTCTGCAGACCAGATTTTATGTCTCTATCTTGCTGCTTAATTGGATGGGGTRTGATCTGTCCTGGGGGACTTCAAGCAGTGGTGGCACTGGGAGATTCATGGCTTTCTTTCCCTACCTTGTAGAGCTCAGGCCCCCTGAACCCTACAGCTGAACGATTCAGCTCCTTCCTCACCCACTACTCCCTGCAGACCCATAGGTCCCTCTGCCAGGGCCAGCAGCTCTCTAGCATGTGCTGGAGAGAGGACACTAGGAAATTAATTTTCTCCCAGGGAGGAGAGACTTCAAGCAACAGGAGGGGGTACAGCAAAGCAAAAGCACGTAAGGGCCATGCCTGGTTACTCAGAGTAATGTGACCGATGGCACAAAGATGGTGTTCTGCAAACCAGGGTATCTGTGACAGCTGCAAATTATTTTTGTGTTAKTTAGTGTGGTGCATATTTTAGATTGGGATATCAGTGTATTGTCCCTTTCTAGTTGTGTTGTTTTTGTGGCAAGAGTGGCTCCTGATAGAGTCCATGCTTTCCAGTGCAGTGTTACAGTGTTAAAGTGCTTTCCCTGATCGTATGTACATTATGGTATCTTACCAAAGACTACACGTTTCCCCTCATTTTTAATATGAGAATTCAATTTTTCTTAGTGTCATACTTTATTCTTAATTTCATCTCAATATTTTGAGGCAYTTTCTGTGATTTAGCAATGTTAAACCTTCGTTCAAATCTTTGCCTCCAAGGTGTGGTACTGCCCAGCATGGTGTTATTTGCAGAAGTTTGAAGTCAAAGGTCAATTCCACCATTTAAGTTGCTAATGAAMGTAAACAATCCTAGCAGACAGATCAGATCTCTTAGTTTGATATACCTTCCCATTGATAGGATATATCCACCTCACCAGTTTGGGAATTGCTTTAAATCACACACTCCTCACGTGTTAATACCATCTGAGACCAATCTGTCTTTATGAGAGTGGTGTTTGAGACAATAACAAAAGCCCTACTAAAGTCAAAACATGTTTCACCTCTTCCTTTCAGCACCTATTAAGTTAGTTATCTTGGTAAGGGAATAAATCAGGTTAGTTTGACATGATTTGTTCTRGACAAATGCACAGTGCCTGCTGTTCATCACTTTATTGTTATTTAGTTGCTTGCACACTGATTGCTGCACAGCTTTTTTCATTATCTCTCCAGATAACAAATGGAGGTTGGCTGATTTATAACACTTCACTCAGACCYTTTGATAAAGATGAGTAGCCCATTTTCCCTTTTCATTATACCTGGAGCTTGTTCTTGAAGGGCAGCAGGAGGAACTGCTGGATGAGAGGCCCACAAGTGTGTGGTTTTGGGTTTGGTTTTTTTTTTCTCCATAGCACAAAAGCAAAAATCTCATTGCTATTTGGAACAAAAAAAATAAAAAAAAACAAACCCCAAACCAGTAAAGAAATTACATTTCTCCTGGTAACCATGGCTGCAAAAATATCCAGGACAGAGGAAATTGCAAAGGAATTCCCTAAATCATACTAACTTAGAAAGGGAAAGAGTGTAAATATATAACAAACCAAATTGTTTGGAAACCTGATGATTTAAAATTACTGTTTGTATATGTAGTTTCTGTCTTATATAAGCTCCTCTGTGAGTTAATAGATGCTGTAGATGCTCAGCTGGCTTCTGCAGAGATAATGCCACGTTTTCAGACACTGCTGAAAATGCAGTGTGAAGAATAACAAGAAGTGAAATGTAGACAAGCTTTAAGGATGTTTGATAGAACCTGCTCCCACTCTTCTTATAGGTGGCCAAAGTGTTTGTAACTATGTTGCTTGAATGTAAAGTGTCTCCTGCTTGAATTATATTTGCTTGTATTAGGTATATAACATTTATATTTKATTTTAATTAATAATGGCAGAAAGGATTAAGAGGTTTCACATTAAATGATGTAATGATGCAATTATGCCTTTATTACTTTTTTCTTCAGTAGGCCTTGTTCTTCAAGACAATTTAAAGCCATGTTAGGAGAGAATTCCARATGTACCTTTGATTTATACTTTTGGCTTCCAAATATTCAGACCAACAGAGATTAATGAATTGCCCCACATGGACTCCTCTTCCCATAGGTTGAATTCTGATGATCACTTTCAGGTGAATGTGGTACCTATGTTGAGTAGGTAGAAACTGAAGTCCAGGTGCAACCTCCACATTCATCAGAGGAAAATGCTAAGAGTATTTCTCTGGTGCTTTTTTTTTSCCCTTGTGATTTCAATCTTCTCTTTGTATCACATGCAAAGCAATTCCTTCCCTCAATCCATGAACCACTATCATCTGCACCTTCCCATGAATCTTGTTGCAGTGATGCTGGTAAAGCCAGAATTACATCAGTCTGGACCTTAAGAAGCAGGAAATCTTGGTGAAAGGGAAAAACTTTTTAATGAAAAGTTGATAAACCCTATGCCTTCACTTTCCAGCTCTCACAGACAAAAYATTATGCTCACATTTTAAGACAAAATGTTAACTGTAACTCTTTGGGGTAATTACAGCACATCTTCATCTGTGTGGCAGGGAAGGGGAGGATCTGTGGCACATCCTGGGGTAAATCTATAGGGAATATATTGCCCCCACGTGAAAGCTGAATGACTCGTTTCAAAACCACCAGTTGCTTTATGGAAACAGCAATTCCTTGTGGGTAGGGAGGTACACCCTTCCTCGGCGGCACAGCTAAACGAGATGTTTGTTAAATTCAAACAAGGGGCACTCTTTAATTTTGTACCTTAATTTCATCGTCTGTGTGACATTCTGCTCCGAACCGCCCATAACAGCACCTGAAATACATTTTCGCTCGAGGAAATAAATATCCAAGTCTTCCTCAGAGGGACACTGAGAAACGTCGTGGGAGGGTATTTGCAGCGAGGAGAGATAATAGTGAAATGAGYGAGTAGAAAAATTAAGGCGAGGAGRGAWKCAAGACAAGCAATAATAATARGAGYARCTCATGTGGAGTTAGCAAAAGCAGCCAAGGTTCAGCTCTGCTTGAAGGAGGCGGTGTGAGGGTGTCCTCTGCAGCCCTGAGGGAGGGCGGGGATAGAGGCGGCTCCCTCAGAAAAAAACCCGAGAGAAGCGGGAATGGTGGGGATCGGTTCTGCCCTCCCCTAGGGCGGGGTGACGAGAAGGAGGAAGAAGAGGAGGAGGAGGCGGGCGGAGAAGGAGGAAGAGGAGGTGGGAGAGGAGGCGGGCGAAGGTGCCGCGCTCCGCCTCTCCCCTCAGAGCGGGCCGGGTGAAACCCCTCCCGCCCGCGGCGCCGCTCCCGCCCCTTCCCGCGGCCGCGATGTCGCTGCTCCGGGGGCCGCGGCCCCGCACCGCCGCCAGGAAGGGCCCCAGGAAGGGGACAGCAGCGGCGGCCAAGCGGGACTGGGATGTAAGTGCTCCCRCTCCGGGCTGCCGGGCGGCCGTAGCTGGGGAAAGGGCCCGGGAGCCTCCGTGCTTGCGGCTGGGGGAGCCGTCCCTTTCCTTAAGGGCTGCCCGGAGGACATGCCCGGCTGGCGTGAGGGCTCGGGCCGGCGGGCACTCCGTGTGGGGACACGGCTCCTTTGGCTTCCTTGGCCCTGCTGGAGGCCAGACCTCCTGCATCTCCTGGGGCAACAGCGCGCCCAGCCCTGGTGGCGGTGTCGTTTTTGGTGGCGGTGTGTTTTTTTGGTGCCCCTGTCGTTTTTTGGTGCCCCTGTCGTTTTTTGGTGGCCCTGTCGTTTTTTGGTGGCCCTGTCGTTTTTTGGTGGCCCTGTCGTTTTTTGGTGGCCCTGTCGTTTTTTGGTGCCACTGTCGTTTTTTGGTGCCACTGTCGTTTTTGGTGCCACTGTCGTTTTTGGTGCCACTGTCGTTTTTGGTGGCTGCCTCGCTGAGGGTGCAACGCTCTGCAGCGCCGTGAAAACTGCACAGCAGTATAGGGTTAGGCTAATCATACTGCAGTTTAAAAGTTGTTTGGGGTTTTCTTTAAAAATAAAACTTTTTTTTTTTTTTTTTTAAAAAAAAGCCAGTAGATTTTGGCCTCAGTTATGACTTTTGACATGTTCCTGTTCGCAGAATACCGTCCATGACCTGACAGTGCACCGTGCAACTCCTGAGGATATTGTAAGTTTAATAGCAATCACTGCTCTGTCCCTGTGGCAAGGGCATAGAGGTGGTTGTCTGACATAAAAAGTGCTTACCATCCTTACAGGGATATTTTCTGCCAATGTTTAATCTCCTTTTTAAGCTTCAGAACATGTTGATCTATAGTGCTAGTTTCTTGTTTAAGATACAGAGCATTCCCAGGTCAGGCAAGTTGGTATTTTTCAGTTTTCTATTCCCACTGGGAAAATGTAGTTTTTATTTCAATAAACTCCATGCTATCATAAAAAACAGAAAACCATAAATACATGAAAGCACAGTGGATTAGTTGAAGGCCTCATCTCTGCTRGAAGGACTGAAAAATATGCTTAATCTGAGGAACCCCTCTAATTCTGAAAATACTTAATTTTTATTGAAGCAATTTAATACRAATTCTTCATACTGAGTGATCTGTTAATTGCTAAGTATGTGAAATCCTTTTACATTTCCTTGGAGCACTGAGTGCCAGGATGGAACATGCAGTATGAGCTATTGTTATAAGCTTTGACAGGTTTGTCAGGACAGATRGTAATGATAGCAGAGAGAGGCTTGATTCTCCAAGTGTTTGGCTTGATAGCTTCTAGACACTTTAACAAGCACCTCACACAATTTATTTAATTTGTATTTAATTTTTTATATATATCTAATTGTTAGAAGAAGAGAAACACTATGTCTGGTGACTGACAGTGTTAAATCAGGAAAAGGCATTATGTCTTCTTATGCATGTTACAGGTGGTAATGTTTGGGTTTTGCCTCCCTTTACAGCTGATAAAACACTTGCTGAGTAAGGGGTGTAGGGCAGATGGAAACTGAGACTTTSTCCATTCACTTTTGGAGCTGATATGGCTGGTACTGATTGCATTTTACAGTTGTGGATGTTTGTGAGACTATCATTGGTACTGTCATGAAGTTAACAWAAATAATGTTCGATGCATGAATGATAAAATCAAGAAGAGCTTGTTAGCATTGCCCTGCAAACTTTGCTTAGGATTGATTTTTGGAATGGTTTCTTCTATGTTTTCATAGCTGCGTCGCCGTGAAATACACAAATCAAAAAACAAAGCACTGGCGCATCTGGAACTGCAAGAGAAAGCACTGAACAGAAAATGGAAGAAGCAAAAGCAACTGGATGTGGATTCCTTGGAGAAAAGGAAATTGGCTCTGATGCGTGAGGTGAGAGCTAAATTTGCACTTGCAGGTGATTTGCAGCAATATTGCAAAACTGCTCTTGTACATAGAGTAATATTTGCTCCCCTTGTTGGACAGCATTATTTCATGTGTGCATACACTCTATGTGCTGCATACATGCAGTGGTTGGAGTAGACAGTCTGACATACCAGCTCATACATATAATTGCACATTTGACCCATGTGGCCTGGCTATGCCCTCTGTAATTTCTGCAGGTCTCTCTTCATCTGAACAGGAAATGTTTGCAGGGTTAAACTGTTGTAAACGTAGGCATATTTTTTGTTTCTCATTGGCAGCTTGCTTTTTCTTTCTCATTTCTAGCATTTTCCTGTGATGAAGACATGCAGATTTCTCTTTCTGGGAGGGACATTTTTTATTTAAATGGAGAAAATGCAGAGTCAAAGGGGTTGAAAGAGTGGGGCAAAAAGTTGGTAAGGGAGAGCTTGCCTTGTGGGAAAAATGATACAACTAAGGTTGATCAGTTGTGGCTGACAAACTTGTCATCTGAGACCAAAAAGCTTGTTCTCTCTACATTCTAAAGCACTTTGAATGTGAATATATTGTTTAATTTATTTTTGAATATTGAACTAGTTGTAACCCTAAGCATAGTTAAGAGAGAGAGTGGCTTTCACTGATTAGTGGTAGTAGATCTTCTGTTTCACATGGCAGGTCACTCCCTGCCATATGTTATGAAAACTAATGTGAAAATTACCTTTCATACCCCTGTGCTGGAACAGACTGAGAATCGTTCTTGTTGCTAAAGAATTATGATGGACATGTTCACCCAGCTTAAAATAAACTATTAAAATGATCTGGTAATCCTGTGAATGTGCTGTGGATTAACCATCACAAACTCCTTTGTTTTTTGTCTTTTGTAATTTTTCAGAAGTCTGTTTCTGATCTCTGAGAACATTTAAGCATGGACAAACAGATGAAAATACTTAGAATTGGAGATCACAGCCTAGTTTTCTATTTGACCCCTGTTTGTCTGCAATCACAGTAGAATTTTTGTATTACAGACATTTTGTTAATCAAGCCTCAGACTTTGACTTTTGTTACTTTGGTACTTTTCTGCCAAGTGCATTTCAGCAGAGTATTCAAAAAACCCCTGTGGACCTTTAAACGAGTTTCCCTAATGTAACAGCAGCCTAGTTTTATTAATACTTTCCTGCAGAAATAAATTATGTGTTACAAAAGGTAGATTAGACCACTCTTAAGATTTGGCTGGGCTACCTGCTATGCAACTTCATTCTTTTGCAGATGTGAAACTCATGTTTAGGAAATAATCTTCTATATTTGTTGCTGTTTCTAATGCAAATGCACAAATCTCAATTCCTCCTGAGTGGCTTTCCCCTTCATATTTAAGAGATTACTTTATTCAGTATACTCTGTGTAGTCAACTTCTGAATCAGAGAAAGGAAGACAAAAGGAAATTAYGCCAGGCAAGATGAAACACATCTTGCTGTTGCAGTTTAAAATACTGGCATCGTCTTGTGTGTAGAAAAAAACAAAATAAGTAGAGTTACCATTTTCACCTCTCCCTAGCTTAAATCTTATTAATTGCCAGGTCCTGTTGTTCAGAGTAACTGTGGAGATTCTGTCTCCCAGTAGAGCACAACCACTGTCAATTGTTTCCGTGTCTGTGTTACCATGGTGATCTTTTTCCTTTATTTCTGTGAGTGTAACTTTCTAGGCCTATTGAGTCCTGCTCAACAGCAAAAAAACTCAGAGACAAAAGCTAAGAAGGTGTTGCTATTAGTGCTGTTTGTCTTGTGGCTGTGTGTTGAACAGAAAGACTTTACAAGAGAGTTAACAAAATGACCAAGCGAAATTTTAATATTTTGGGATTTGTCTGCCTGAAAATTTGAATGAAAAAATAATTGAAGTTCACCTCTGTATCTGGGGACTGTGAATGTGTAGGTACCACCCTGATTAGTCCTGTAACAGCTTATTTTTTAAATAATGTTAGTTTATTGTACCAAAGGGTAGCGGTGAATGGATTTTCTTAGTGGGGAGAGTTCAGGATGAGTGCAGTTGATTTGTCCTTGATAATCTGAAACAGAAGGGAAGGGGATTTTTAATGAAATTCATAGGTGAATCTAAACTGGGACAAAGTACATTGCTCAGTGAATTTKTCCAGAGAGTGTAAAAGGGCCTAGTGGAGTTACAAGATGATACCACTTTTTCTTCTCATCACGAGCAAATGTGAGTTAATCTGCCTTGGGAGCAATGCTTTAAAAATGTTCATAACATGTTCAGCAGGAGGGTAGAGCTTAGGAACCTGCTGATACCAAAAAAGATCTAGTGAGGAAGGTAAAAACAAAGTAATCAGGGTAATTTTTGTCTGATTATGCGCATCACTCTAATTTTAGTTGCCTTTGGGAAAGGAGTCATATAAACTCTTTTTCTTTCTTTCTRTATTTTTTTTCTTCTGCAGATCTGGTATAATAACTTTGCCTAAAAACCTGCATTGTTTTGATGGCTRAATGGAAAGACTAGATTTAGTTTGTATCAGATGTGAAAATTTAATAGTGGTCTGGAAAAGGAGATATGTGAAGTGATTGAAAGATGAATATTCATTTATTTGCTGAAGTGATTATGGGACATCTAATTTACTGTGTAATGCAAGCTCAAAAGATAAGAAAAMCATGGAAACTTTGTGTAGGGAAACTTTGTGACATAACAAATCATGTAGTAAACAGGGGGTTGAGGAAAAGCAAGTGAAATGCCATTGCCTAGAATTTTTTTTAATGAGGTTAAATGTAAGCCAGCAAATTTACCAATGGACACTGAAAGGAGCTCTGTAGAGATAACGCTATAGAGGGCTCTAAAATCTTTTCAAAACAGTCTGTTAGGATTCCTGGAGGAGCAAAAATTGTCACCAGTTTTCAAATTTTGAGTAGAAGGCTGTAATGATCCGATTATTAAGGATCTTAGAGACACCTCTGAYCGAATTAAGGTGCAAATGAAACCATATGCCTGTCAACAGGATGAGTTTTATTAGATAGTAAATATGAGAGAGAGAGAAAAAGGAATAAAATAGAAAAGAGATGGGAGGGGCAGAAGGAGAGTGACAGAGACAGAATAAGCAAAATGCCACCACCCCATGCATCCCAGCAATGTTGCATTGRCTTTCTCCAGCTGGTTTTCTTGGTGGTGATGGTTCTCCTGAAAGCACAGAATCCCATGGGTTAATACATGCTCAGGCCAGGTGACAGTGTCCAGGCATGTCCTCCCTTGGGAGGGGGCAGTCTCCTGCAGCAGACTCTGGAGCTGTTACATCATGTGCAACCTGTGGTGAAAGGTCTCTGGGGGTGCTTTTGGGGGGTTTTTGATGGATTATGACACCCCCTCAGCTGYTTCTCACGTGAATATCTYGTGGATATGACCTGTGGGGTTGGAGGTTCCCACAGCTGGTCCAGTTTGTGTAAGGGAGGAGGACTGTTCASTGCCTCTGACCAGAGGCCACACCTGAAACCTCCTCCCCTGTCCCCTGTTTCAGCAGAGGAGCTTTTGTAAACCTGSCTTCTGAGGGCTGTGGCCTCTCCCACCCCAAATCTAGCCAGACATGAATTTCTGCTGAGTTTGGCTCTCTTGTGTATGCCCTCCTTTCCCTCAGCCTTGTTTGTTTTCTCTCTGGGCTGAGATGAKTGATCAATAGCATCTTATCTTGGCAGCTGAACTTATAGTCCAAAGTCCCAGTCAGGTAACTTCAGGAARGCTTCTTTGGCTGTAGCTTCTTTATACATTTTTTGTTATAATGAGTAAAACTTTATATCARTGTTGGAGGCATGAACTGTTTCAGTCTCTGACAAGAGCATACACGAGCCTGACTGTTTGGGTGGATCTTCTAAAGCACTTGCAGTTTCTTTGGATCAATTTGATGAACCACAATGAAGCCAAGGTCACTTACATATCTCTTTTCAGGTATTTAAGAATGGCTACCTTCTCCCCAGGTTGCAGGATATAATGTCCCATTTCTAGCTTTGTGAGTGAAGCCAGGAATCCATGAGGTGTTTTACAAAGCCACATCTCCYGTCAGCTCTGTTTGGCTCATCCAGTGGATGCCTCTTGCTTTGCACTCTGAGAACTCCTTCCTTAGGAGGCACCTGTTCTGATGGACTTCAAATACTAGAGAGGCACTGTGGAGAGAGAATTTGAATACAGAAGCTGTATCTTCTGGAGATTCTCAAAATGTGGGATGGGATCTTCTGATGCCAGATGTAGTCAGCTGTGTTTACCTCTGCTAGAACTTCTGGTGGTGTGTGGCTTAAGTTTTAGGTAGGATTTTCAGAAACCCWTACTAAGTGAAACAAGTCTGCATGAATTGGTTTGAATCTAATCAAATGGTACAGGTTTTGGGTGTCAGATGTAGGTAAGAGTTCTRTGACTTAACAACATTGAGATCAAATGATTAGAGGATGCATCCTTTTTTTTCTTAATTGCTAAATATGTCTTTGTTTTGATGAGCATGTCATAAATACCCAGCTTCTTGTGTCAGGCTRGGAGGGGAAGAAGGGAGTGAGAGGATTTGCTCTAAAGAGAGTCAGTACTGATGGGGGCCCCTGAAGTAATAACTGTTTAATTTTTCAGAAAAACAACATGAAATTCTAGCTACACAGAATGAAGTATGTTTTTCTGATCTATCTTATTTAGTATCTAATTGCACAGTACCAACTTTGCAAATGTTGTCTTCTTGGCTGTTCTCTTAGTAACCATTTAGAACAACAATACCAGGAGAAAAAAAAAAAGAAAAAAATCAGTCTGCTCACTGTAAAGTTTGCTTATACACTRTACTTTCAGATTCTGTCTGATCAGTACCATTTGCACGATGCGTTGGAACGATCTGGTCAGGTTATGGCTGTGACAAAAGACTTGTTGGGGGCTGCTCCTCGCACAAGAACAGGTAGAACATCTCATCTCTCTGTGGTAGTACATTTAAGACTATCTCTTTGCTTTCCATGAATAGTCTTGCTTTCCAAAGTGCTCTTTTTAACTGCTTTCATCTCATCATCTAACATAGTATGRCTGATCCTGTTCATATTGGATGAAACACAGGTGAGAATATCACCTCCCATGGCAGGGGACAGTGAGGCTGGTTATTCCACTGTATTGGTCCACTGGAATGTCTCATCACATGCTCTGAAAAACCTCATGCTCACCATTTCACAGCCAAGCTGCTGGCCTGTGCAGAGCACCAGTTTGAGCTGCTGCAAAAGTGCTGATTCTCACTGCTGCATGGGCTGACTCTTTGCTCTTGGATACTGGTGAATTATCAGCAATTCCTGAATAAGGCTTTTCCTTYTCTTAATTTGGCTTGTGGATCCTGCTGGAAGGCAGGACTGGCTGTMTGCATATGAAACCTTAAACCCAGGGGATTTTCTCTGTAGGCTGCCAYCCTCTTTTGTTCCTAGTGACTGATCTTGCATGCTGCTTCCTTGTGGGAAGGACAAAAGCTGGRTATGTGGCCCAGTGTATTAAATTAACCCTATGGTTGGTGTTTGGTTGTTGTTGAAAGGGACATCCCTGTGACACTTTTTTTTCTGAAGTACAGGAGATTGATTTTCAGTMCAAAGTGCTGCAACAGAAGTACAGACAAAGCCCTCTGTGTTCTTCCCTGTGTTATCTAATTCCTCTAGGTTTCCCTAATGTAACAATGGCTCCTAACTGTGACCTAGAATCATCTCAAGGACCCATTGTACAAAAAGGTGATCTTCCCAGTCAGCTTTCCATCCTTAATGAAACTGTCATGGATTCCCAGGTAATATATGTTWTGTTCCATGCATGTTCTGTGGCTTTTTCATTTGCACAAAATAAGAATATTCAAAGATAAGAGTTTCCAAGCAGAACTAAACTGTTTTTTGTTGCTAACGTTCATAGAAGACAAGGTTAAACAAGGTGAGTTTGTTTAGTGAAACTCTGGGAATTGTGATTTTTTTGATTTCTTAACCTTCAGATGTGAGAAACATCSTCATGTCTTGTAGAAGCTCTCTCACATTAGCATACCCTCCCTTTTAAATTCTGGAATTCTCAGGAAGAGTACAACATAATTACAGTCTAAGAGAACAACTTTTGTATCACTTTACTTATTGCTACGTTTCATAACATGTCTCTGATTTACAAATTATGTCTGCTTATTTGGGGACATAACCAATTGTACACCAGTTCATTCCACAGCCTTGATTAGTCCTRCAGGTTTATACTTTGCATTGGTTTACAATTACTCATATTTGTTTAAAGAGTTTTAAAAGAGTTTGTTTAAAACTTCATTTAGATTGCTTTTGTGTTCTGTTTTCTTTTAATAACRCATTGTACCAGGAATGCTCACTGGGGTTTGAGAAACAGGCATATGATGTTCCCAGAAAACATCYCCCTGATGAGGACCAAACAGACTGTTGGGAGTAAAAATGATGGTGTCATATTCCCATGATTCTTTGCTCCTGTTTCCTAATATCTTGCAAAGAATATTTGTAATTTGAATTGTGGCACATCTATGTTAGGTATTTTTGTGTGGCATCTGTTTTTCAGGTTTTTTTTAACATGAAGAGTTAACTGCAGCATCTTTGTAAGCTGTGTCACTGGGTACATATTGCTGGATAGGCTGAAATTTTAAAAAGAAACATGTACTGATTGTCTGCCAAACTTCTGTGAAATTCTTATGTGCCTATGAAAACCACAGTTAGACACTATCTAGTGAATCCTATACAGAAGCTCAGAAACCTGGTACTTTGAGGAGCCCTAATTCCAAATTTGGTTGCTGAGGTTTTGCTATAAATGWAGTGCATAGGATTGTATTTTGTTCTGGTTGTGTTTTACTCGCAGAATATAAATGCAATTTTGTGGGTCTCATTATGAAGTTGTTTACCTTGTAATCTCAAATGACTGAAATTTTATAAATGCTATGATTTAAGTTGCTTTTCCATATTTTGCTTGCTGTGTCTCTGAATCTATTTTGGTGCAGACTTTACAGCTTTTATTTTATCCTCTATTTTGCATGGCTTTTCTTATTTAATATAAGTAATACAAAGAAAAATATTAGATATTGAATTAGTCACTTGCTCTGTTATTTTCAGAGACACTTGTTCAGAATCAGTATTTCTTAGGTACCAATGTCCTCCAAAACTTCCCACAAAGGTGTGCCATTTGGGGTTTTTTTTTTCTATGTGTTATTTCTATTTTTGTTTTGGATGGGGAGATTAAAACGATTTTTTTTTCTTGAAATGATTCCATAAAAYTGGTCTCTAACTTCTTCTGAAGTCCTTTTTGTTTTCTTTGTWTTCTCTTGAAAAGGCTCTTAATGAAGATGAAGAGGAAGCAATATCAGAAGATGAACACCATAACATTTTGGGTTTCAAATCCAGCATCAATTCTGACATGTCAGTACAAATACATCCCTTCAGGTTTCTACCTGCTTTGCACTGGAAATAGGTGGAGTTAAAAGGGTGCTGAATGGGTATAATTAAGTTAGTTCTTCTTTTTCCCTTTGACCTCCTTTCCTGATCTCAGAATTCCAGGAAAAGCCTTATTGTAACATTGAAACTGGGAATGGAAGTGACCAGGGAACTCACCTGAGCAGTTGTGGATAATTTTAGAAGCTCTGTTTAGACAGATAATCTCAAAAATGCCATTGTCCTGTTAGAGTTCACTGTAATGCTTGTTTTGATGTAGGCTACTTCGGTTGCTGAGAGAAGAAAATTCCTTGGTGAATCCTCAGCTGTGGGTTGATAAGGATGTGAGAAAAACCACCACATCACGGGAATCAAATGTGCCTTTGACTCCAGTGACTGTTTCYCCTTCATTGGATCAGTCAGGTGGGATTTGCTAAATCACAGCAAGATTGTTGGGCTGTTGTAGGATTCTGTCTGGAGTTCCTTTTCTAGGTGGGGTTGAGAGACAGAAATGTATGCTTATTTGGCTCAGATGAATTTCCAGACTAAAAATCCAGCTCTTAYCATAAAATACTCTAACATGTTACTATAAGGAACATGCCTGAAATATTTCATGTGTGCATTTTTTGTTTTGTTTTATGTTTAAATCAGCCCTCAATGCAACCTCTGTAATCAAGAGAACCCGTTCAAGACTTCAGAATGAAGATGAAGAAGAGTCTGTTGAYTCCACTGACCCTGTGAGAAAAGTGCTGAATCCAAACTCAAGGAAACAGAAGCAAATTTCAGCAAAGAGTTTAGTACTTTTAAAAATAATATACCCTTTGTCCATAGTCCTTAATGTCATGCGAAAGTTTAGGTTGGAAGGGATCTTTGGAAATCATTGCAAGGCTAATACCAAAACCTGACGAGGGCAGCCTTGAGGCTTGAGCATGTCTTARGATGGATGTTCCACAGCTCCTTGTCTAATGTATTTCCCCTGTGTTCTGTATATTCATGGGCAAAGCCAAGTCCATAGGAGTCTGGGAACTGTAAATATGGCCCTTTGATGCTGCCATTACCTTGCTGGCCATGGAGTTCTCTCCCCTGCAGGGCTTTCCTAGTTCTGATACAGTTCCCAATATATTTCAGTCCCTGGATCCTGCACACATTTGTATGAGGGGACTGACATCAGATACAAGCCATGACATGGAAGGTTTGTTGTAAGAGAGTTGTTTACTGAACAAGAGAAAGCAGCTGATATTTTTCATTAGCAAACTGTTCCATGCTTTTAACTGAGGAGGAGAATAGTAAAAACAGGTGTATCCAAGATAAAAGCACCAAACAGTCACACTTAAGAAGTACTATTGTGGCATCAAAAATGTAGTTTTTGAGGATCTGAAAATAACTGGAATGACTCAGGACATTCTTTGATGGTCCATTTCATCTTATGGCAAGAGGGCATTTCCTTTGATTTACTTCAGTAACAATGCAATTTCATTGGTAGTGCCTAGATTTCTATACAAATTGAAATTCCAATGACACCTTTTTTTATTCCCCCTCAGTGAAAAGGAARCAAGCTACACAGAACTCTGCAAGACAGAAGAGAGATGATTCTCCAGCTAATTTAATCGAGACTGACCTTCAGAGGAACAACAAATCCAGCCTAGAAGTTCTCAACCACATGATCCATGAAGTGGAGTGTGAACTGGAGGAATATGAGCGATGTACAGGCCGTGAAGTTCAGARAAAAGAGAGAAGTGGAGGCCTGTCTGGGTTTACACTGTCACTGGTGAATGCTCTCTGTCGTTTGATGCGCTACCTCAAAGAGGTGAGAGACCTAAACCTGCTCCTGGAAAGTGAATGAAATAAAGTTGTCAACTTTATACTGTATAATTGTGAACAGATGTGCACTTAGGACTTTTCTGGATTCCAGTTATTTTACATTGACCTCTGATAGTCATTGCTGATTATTTCCTTTGCATGCAATTAGAAGTTAAAATTTTTAGTTTCTTGGGAACTGGTTTGTTAAAAAATTGGTATCCCTAGTGAAAAAAATAGAGGAGTGGACTGCAGTGAAAGTCTCTCAGTGTCTAATAGCAGAAAATAGCAATTGAAGTAATTTTAAATTTGTTACTTAAATATGTTCAGACTTGTATCAGGATATTAACCACAGCTTTCTTTATAAATTGTTTTTCTTCCTTTGCTTCCCAAAGGTGATGCTATTGTCATTGGGSCAGTGGACCCAAATCCCCTATTTTCCTTGAGGGATTCCTTAGCCCTCTTTTTCTATCCATAACAGCTCTCTGTATTTAATCTATATGAAAGAAATTACTTAATTAAATCCTGCCTTGGAAGGAAACAGTAAATAATCAATGAGGGAAATGGAACTACCATCAGAAGATGGAGTTCAGCTGAGAAAGTCTTATGTTTTAAAAGAAGTTAATAATACTTGCTCTTTGTTAAAATTGTAATACCAAAGCAGGGAATTAAATAGGATTCTTCTGCAGTTATAAGGAAGGATCTTAGAATCTCAGTAGAATGTTTTCTGTTTATTAGGAATACATKTAATAACATCAATTTAATAGCATCAAATTCATATGACAAATATAATTGCAGTTATACTCTTACTTAGGTTGTCTTTGTTTTCTACAGAAATGAGTTATTCCTGAGCTTCAAACTTCTTCCAGAGCTACTCCCTTCATTTTTCTTGTGCTGCCATTCCATCCTTCCAGAAGTTGATTATTGCTTGCAGAATTGTCTGCAACACTCATGAATTTACTACCTAAATTCTTAGGTATTTACTACCTAAATTCTGAAGAAATCACTTGAGCTGCATAATGTGGTTAATTGTATTCAGGCTTGCTTGAGATAATAGACACTGCATTCATAATCTAAAATTACTTTTCTCCTTTTCAGGGAGGTTTAATTACAACTAGAACTTGAGAATTTGCTGGGAAGAAGCACAGCTTGTCTTGAGTATTTCCTAAAACCTGGTTCCTGTGATGCCAGACATAAATCAAGCACTTGTGTGCACCATCTGTCKTGCCTAACCAGCAGAGTTAGCAGAATTCCAATGCCTGAATTATAACTGGCAGTAACTTTTAAGAACATGACTTTGCAGGGGATATTTTAAAATCTTCTGATTTTAGTTAAACAGTCAGTCTTCATAAGGTTTTACAGTTTTTAGAGAGAATTGCCTTTCTCTTCTTCCAGTTTTGCTGCAGAAAAGCAGAAGGCTTGCAATAAAGGATGTTGCTTAATTTATTCTCAAAATTGTATCTAAAAAGTAGGAAGAGAAATTTTAAATTCAGAAATCTTTCATGGAAATGTTTTTATTAAGTGATTAAAATAACAACACTTATAAGAAGGGAATAGTGAATACAGAAGAGTCTAGAGAAAAGSAGAAAAAGAAAGGTAGGAATGGATGTTAACCCTGAAATTTTTCCCCATGCATAAATATAAGACAAGGCTTCTTGGAAGCTTTTCCTCCAAGCCTAGGTCAGTGCTGTGTAGGATTAGTAGGTACAGTATGATCTAAGGCATCAGTAGCTTCATCACTGCTGTCAGTGTACAAGTGCTTATTTTATGCTGTCTTTGGTTTCTGAAAAGAGAGAACTATGTACAGGGTTTGGGTTTTTTTTTCCCATTTTCTGAGCCATCCTGCTTCACTTGGATCAATACAAAACCCTTATTCTCTCTAGCTGAAAGAGAAACAGAAAATTTATCTCTCATATACTTAAGGGAGGTGAATCTGCCTATATTTGTGTCCAGTGGCAGTATCTGTGAGTTAGTCTCAAAAAGTATTTATTCCTTCCATTTTATGTGGATGCAGAGCTATTTTGTCATAATGAAACCCTCTAGAACTTCTTTTCTCTGATGGAAAATGTTAGAAAGCAAGTACTTTCTCCTTTACTTAGTCAAATTTGTCTTCAWTAATGAATTAGGGAAACCAAAGAATAGACACAAGTAGCATGGGATACTGACAGCCATCAGCATGCTTGGAATTACTTGGTTCCTCCTTAAAGATTCAGTGACTTAAGAAATTGTATCAGTGCAGAGAGACAATGTTTGTAGTTATATCCTGTKAAAGTTGTAAAGGCAGAAGAACAAGATGTCTAGGATTCTGAATTTACAGTGTCCTGGAGTAACAAAGAGAAAACAGTGAGCTCTCTGACAGTTCTCAAGCCCAGACAATTGGATTTTGTCATGAAAGTAATTAAGTCAATTTAGCATTCGTGGGAAGAGCTGTTACATTATGGTGTCATAATGGCTCATTCCTGTTTTCAAATATGAGTCTGTATTGGTTTATAGAAGGTTTTTCCTTTTTTCTCCCTCTTTAGACTGAAATGCAGCTGCATGAGAAAGAGGTGATGAGGCAGCAGCAAGAGGAGATGTTGAATGAACACAGAGAGCTGATTGATGCTCTGACTGCAGAAGTACTTCAAGTAAGGGAAGAAAACATTGCTATGCAGGTACTGAACCACCCCTTGCTCCTTACCCATCAAAATTATGTGTTAGAATTCTGAGTTCTGTTGCAAATATGGGCTGAGGGGCATTGTCTCATATTCTGAGAGATTTTAACAACATGAGATTTTTAACAATAAGCAGAAAGAAAATTATAAAACTGAGTGAGGAGCCTGAGAATTATAGTAGCAGGTATCAGTATGGAATGTTTGAAAAATCATTTGTTTATCTCTATTTAACTTCAAAGCCAGAGAAAGTGCTGGTTCTGTGAAACTGAGCTTTATTTTATCCATCTAAAAGTTTAAGTGTCATCCTTCATACTTTTRTACTGTTAAGACTACTGGAGCAATGAGTACATGTAATACTATATTTTCCTTTCTATAGTTTGCAGTGGAGGTAGATTTCATCAATGGTTACATTTGGGAATGGAGCAATTAAGAAACCTCAGAAAGGAAGTGATGTCATGAGTAAGAAAAGGGAAAACAACTTATAAATRAGAAACAGTAATATTTAATCCYTASTGAAMATCTWMAKAMT